GGTGAAAGCAAAATTTTCAGACCCGGACCCGGATCCGGACCCGGTCAAAATAAAACTTTTAGATCCAGACCCGAGCGGGTTCGGGTCCTACCCGACGGGCTCTAACCCACACCCACACCCCACACCCAGACCCACACCGACACCAACATCCCCACACCCACCCATACCCACGCACCCACAGCCATACCCGCACACACATACCCACACCCGCACACCCACACCCTGATCGTCTCCTTTCTCTGGATGTATCAATCGATATGACCTACACTTTTCTAGCTAACCATTGTCATTGATGTCTATTCATAGACATTATCGCAACTATAAACTCGATCATTTGATTTTACTGATACCTTAATATCATTGAACAGAGTATCCAAAATAATCGTAACTTGAGAAGAGAGGTGGAAAAACACAAATCTTCTTAGACCATTTCATCTTAGTGAGATATAGTTTGTTGAAATAATATCAGTTCATAATCTTCTGGTGTCGAACAAATATATTTCGCCCAAATATGTCAAAACATAGACAAAACTGGAAATGTCTTACATGGAAAATATTCATACTCTGTTTTAATATCCTTTTTCCAAAATAAGCATTAGCTGGTCAAAAAAACATTCGAAGCAGTAGTTTTGATAATCGTTTTAATATGTTGCAGCATTTATGCAAGTGTTTTGATCGAGTATAAGTTTATCCCCAAAAATCTTGTGCAGTCTCCTTAGCATATTAAACACATTTATTTAATAGTTGAGAAATCATTGAAATTGCACAGAAAAGTTGTCCCCTTATACGTATATCGACTGAATGGATTCGTCAAAATTATTGCATCGGCAGTTTTCTGTAAAAACTCTGAACGGTTAGAGATATATCTATATTCTCATATCATGTTATGTTCTTTCTTAATTATTGTCTCATCCTAGATTGAAATGGTTCCTATGGATAATAATGTTAAATTGGTCAACTACTCGTTTCGTAAGAACAGTGTTGTCGTCGATGCAAACGAGGAGCCGAGATCAATTTCATATGCGCAAAATACAAGGAACGTTCAGAACAATACCATCGCTCGAATAAAAAATTACACGATTCGACAGAATATGTAAGACTTTTTCTTTTGATGTCAAATATCATTGTTGTTACTCTTTTCTAGGAAATTTTGTTGGTGGGTAATGTTGGGTTTCATACACAAACCTGTCTTTGTACTGCCTACGATTACAAGCATAGTTACGATTATCGGTATAGTGATAGTTTGTTTAACTGCACCAAAAGTACCAGGTATGTCCTTGTTGTTTTACATTCTTCGTATTCAATACGATAAAAATCCACAGTTAATTCGGTTCTATTTTACCAGTATTGTGAGTTTAGGTTAAAAAACCTCCAATTGTGATAATATTTTGATATCGAGATGCTTGAAGCAAACCATCCAGCGAGGACGGAATTACAAGCACTGCAACTCGTTCACTTTTCCATTTCATATTAGTACTGACGAACGCGAACCAACCAAGATGATCATCACCAGTAGATCTGATACTTTGTCCATAAGTTGAACCTAGTGAGACTAGACAATGACGAAAAAGATACAGTTGCTTACAAGGAAACGTCATTAACTGTTATTCCCAATTCGAGCTCATATTATACTCATGAGAGTAGGGCTCGTAGAGTAGAGAAAAATTCCTAAAGGATTAACCCCAGTGTTGCTTTGTTTCAGAGGGACAGGCATAAAAAATTTCTCGAAAAAAGAGATGATTGTGTTTTATAAAAAAGTTGTTGTTCCTATCACAATAAACGAACATTTTCATAAGTTGATTTATTACCAATTCAACTTAGATATGATTGCTTGTTGCAGAAAGATCAACTTTATCATATTCAGTGTCCTACAGATGAAGGAGAGAAATTCATTGAATCATCCCTTCTATTATTTTTAGTAGTATTTTTTTCACATCTTGGAATGATAACAGCAGTTTATTCAGAATTTCTTATTCTCTATCTCATCTGTGTGTTCTTTGGGTATCATATATATGTGAAACAATAAGAAAAAATACGAGTGGTTTTCTAATAGGACGTAGCAAAGGTAAACATATTTTCTCTCTGAGACACATCTTGTTTACATTTTCTAACTGTACGTGGCCCGAAAATGAGAGCAAACAGATAATAATAAATAGAGATCTATAGGAAGGAGGCTGTAAGATGTGGTCATCATATATAGAGTCGAGGAAAATTGAAATTGCACCGTTTGATTTTTTTTGTTTTTTATTACTATACGTTTTTATCTATTAACCTACTATATAAGGGAAGAAAGCTCAGAAGCCGCCGCATCTTTTGGTATATTTACATTGAGCATCGAATGCAGTTAAAAGTATAAATAGTGTATTAGAAGAAAAAGGACTTTCTTCTTTAATTCCATGATGTCCATAATGTTGTAACATTTTTTATTTCGCATATATCTTGGCTTAGGTAAATAATAAAACCTTGAATTTCTTTTTTTTCGAAAGATGTGCCATAAGAAAGCTCTAGAAAAGCTATATGATCGAATTCCTTGTTACCTGTTCTGATGGTTTTTCTTATACTCAAAATGAACGACTTACATGGCAGTGTCACTTTCCATCATACTGAAAATGTTGGAAGACTTTTTTGTTCTGCATATATCTCTACTTGAGAAAATGATGGAATATTGAATTTGTTTTTAAAAGATGTGCCGTCGAAAGCTCTACAAAACTTGTATGGACCAAACCCTATAGCGAATCGGAAAAGTTCTCGAAATATTTTCTATACGATGGGAAGTGACTCTACCACCCATAAGTTGTTCATTTCAAGTATAAGAAAAACCATCAGAACAGATAAAATGGAATTCGATCATATGGTTTTTCTAGAGTTTTTCATGGCACATCTTTCGAAAAAAATTCAAGCTTTTATCATTTACCTAAGCCGAGATATATATGCGAAATAAAAAAATGTTACAACATTATTGGACACTCGGTTTTGGCAATAAAAAAAGTGTTCTTTTCTTCTAATACACTTTTAATATTTTAAACTGCATTTGATATTCAACGTAAATATACTAAAATATGCAGCACGTTCTGGGCTTTCTCCCTATATATAGTGGGTTAATAGATAAAAACGTATAGTAATAAAAAACAAAAAAAAATCAAAAGGTATAATTTCAATTTTTCTCGACTGTATATATATTGATCTAATTATATCTTCTTTAGTTCTACTATCATGCCTGAACGCGTATATATCATCTGTTCTAGTATATTCAGCTACATTTGTTTTCTTTCTCTTTATTCATTTATCAATCATGTATGTTCTCTCTTGTATTCTCTAGTGAGTTCTCATCTCTTTACTACATTCTAGTGAATGCTTTCCCTTTTCACTATTTCAAATAATAACACATTGCATAAATGTGATTAGATAACACTTTTCTCTTATTAATAACTGATTAGTGGTCGACTATTTTCACACAGTGAAGAAATAGTGAGTACATTTCTATTAGATCCTCGTTCAAATATCTCGACAATAAAAAGCGAGGAATCCTCAGAACGTTGTAACAGTATTATGAAACCTGAAATCAGATGAATTATCCAGTGATTCATGATCTTCAATCAGTTCTAGGATGAAGGTATGGATGTCAATGTTTCTTTTTCCTCTACTGAAACATGCACAGTGGGCAGCAGGCAGTCCACACCTATATCCTGGATTTTTAACCAGCCACAAAATACGCCCGGTTCAAAAGAGGTTTTTTAAAATATCATGGGTGTTGGTTTCATATTTCAAACAGATAAATGTTATGAAAAAGAGCTCTATCGATGGATTGATGATGCATTGTTCTTTGTTCAATAAATCTGTGCTTCACTCTGTTTTTTTACTATCATGATCATTAGACAAATTCATCATTTCCTTAATCTTTTATTTCATTTTCATTTTCTGTATCGTCTTTATTTTCTTAATAAATGAAAATATAGCTAACATACTTCTGTTTTTATACAACAAGTAACAAGGAGTAGGATGAGCTTGTCAAAAATTAGTTTCTGAAAATGTTCCTTTATTGAGATAAGTTATGACTCCAGTCAATGAGCAAAATATGAACTCAAATGGAGTGAATTAGTGGATGAAGTTCATTCATTAGTGTTTTCTTTCTAAATTATACCTGTTATACTAATATTCCCCTATAGATCACAATATACTAATAAGTCAAATGATGGTATTTTCACCTGATATTTTGCTCCCATACATGTTTCGTAGTTATTAAAATTTCATAAAGTTTCTAGCGAATGCATGCATATCTCTTGTAGGATAACAATGAAAAATATTCATTATGTAATTAGAGGATTGTTGCAATGCAGTGCTACTGGCATTGTTTTGATTTAGAAATGATTCGAAATTTTTGTCATTATAGTATATTTGTGACTGATAACATGTCATCAAAGAATCTGTAAGATAGAGATGATAGTAGTTTTGATCATGTAGTAAGAGCCAGTCCATAGACCTTATGTAAGTAAATCATATTAGTTGCGGTGTTTGTTGTTTCTCAGTTTCTGTGTGGGTCTCCAACGTGTTCTCTAGTAAATGACAGAAAGTGCATGATGAATAATCTGAGTAATGAATTTCACAAGACTCGATGAGGTTCAAATGAAAAGCATTGGTACCCATCCAGATTTGGCTATAATCATTCCACAATATCGATAAGAATATGATCAGAATCATGTGAATCTGATACAATCCACTAGCGACTGTTGAATCAGAGCAACTGATCCATCTTTATTTCTTTGTTCTTCTCTTACCTAGTCGCAAAATGTCAACTCAACTTCAAATCAACGATTCCAAATCCAGTTGATTATAAGTCTGATCCACGATCTGTCGCCATCGGTGACTTCAACAACGATACTTGGCTAGATATTACTGTTGCGAATCATGCTGCTGATAATATAGCTATATATTTTGGATATGATAATGGCACTGTGACAAACCCAGTCATATATTCCACCGGTCCTGGCTCTGCTCCACGCATGGTCGCAGTTGGTGATTTCGACAACGATCATCGACTGGATATCGCCGTCGCAAATTTTGGTACAAATAGCATCTATATATTTCTTAAATTCCAAAATGGAACTTTTGTGAATCAAACAGTTCTATCAACTGATTCGTCTCGTCCAGTTTGGATCCACGTAACTGATCTCAACAATGACACAGCATTAGATATTATCACCGCTAACTATGGTACACACAGTGTAAGTATATTTTATGGACATAGAAATGGAAGCTTTGCAAAACCAAGCACGTACTCTACGGGCTATGATTCGTTCCCGTTTGTGGTTGTCAGTGGTGATTTTAACAACGATCAACAGCTGGATCTTGCTATCGCCAATTATGGTACAAACAATGTTGGTATACTACTTGGAACTGGTAACAGTACTTTCGCGAATCAAATCAAGTTTTCAACCGGTCCTAATTCCCATCCATACTCGCTTGCTGTTGGTCATTTAAACAACGACACTATGCTAGATATTGCGGTCACCAACAATGGAAATAATAGTGTTGGTGTTTTTCTGGGCCATGGCAACGGAACTTTTATGCGACAAGCGACATATTCCCTGAACGCTACTTCTCCATATTCTATTGGCATTGGTGACTTCAATAAGGACAACCAAATGGATTTAGTCGTCACCAATAATGGCACTGACAATATTGGTGTGTTTCTTGGATATGGCAACGGCACCTTTGTAAGCCCAAAAATGTATTCAACTGGATCTTCTTCTTCGATCTCTGTTGTCATAGGTGATTTCAACAGAGATGATCGTTTAGATATTTTCGTCATCAATAATGACACGAGCAGTATAGATATCTTGCTTGGATATGATGAATATTTTCCAATTCAAACGAAATATTCAACTGGCATCTTCTCGAGCTTTGTAGCTGTCGGTGATTTTAATAACGACACCGTATTGGATATCGTTGTCACTAATTCTGATGAGAACACTACAAGTGTACTTCTCGGATATAGTAATGGCTCTTTTGCAAGACAAATGAAATATTCCACTGGCACTGACCCGTATTGTGTAGCTGTTGGTGATCTTAATAACGACACCCAACTGGATATGATTATCACTAATCATGGGAGCCATAATGTAAGTGTATTTCTCGGATATGGAAATGGCTCTTTTGCGAATCAAACGACATATGCTACCGATGCTTTTCCGTATGGTTTAGCTGTTAGTGACTTTAACAACGACACCCGACTGGATATCGTCGTCGCTAATTATTATGGCAACACTGTAAGCGTACTTCTCGGTTATGGCAATGGCTCTTTTGCAAATCAAGTGACATATCCAGCTGGCTTTTATCCAGCTTTTATAGCTATTGGTGATTTTAACAACGACACCCTATTGGACATCGTCGTTACTAATCCTGATAACAACACTGTAAGTGTATTTCTAGGATATGGCAACGGTTCTTTTGCAAATCGAGTAGAATATTCAACTGGCACTTATCCAGTATTTGTAGTGGTGGCTGATTTTAACAATGATACCTATTTAGATATCGTCGTCACTAATTATTATGACAATACGATAAGTGTACTTCTCGGATATGGTAATGGCTCTTTTGCAATGCAAATGACATATTCAACTGGCGACGGGCCAATTGGTTTAGCTATTGGCGATTTAAATAACGACACCCGACTAGATATTGTTGCGAGTAGTGCTGGAAATAATACCATAGGTGTCCTTCTCGGATATGGTAATGGTTCTTTTGCAAGTCAAAAGACATATTTAACCGGTGCTTATCCATACAGTTTAGCTGTTGGTGATTTTAACAACGATACCAGACCGGATATCGTCGTCACTAATTTTCTTGGTAACACTGTTAGTGTTCTGCTCCGTTATGACAGAGGAGCTATGAAAAACGAAATTACATTTACGCCCAGTGCTGGTGCTCACTTGGCATTCGTTGCCGTTTCTGATTTCAATAACGATAGTCTATTGGATATCGTCGTTGCTAATTATGGTAGTAATAATCTAGGTGTCATTCTCGGATATGAAAATGGCACATTTGGAAACGAAATGATATTCTCAACGGGATTAGAATCTCATCCTTACTTAATTGCAATTAATGACTTTAATAGAGACGGTCAAGTGGATATTGCAGTGGTCAATCGTGGTACTAAAAGTCTTAGTACATTTCTGGGAAAGGGGAATGGAACGTTTGAAAGTCAAGCAAATTATAGCACTGGTTTCGATTTTGCTCCATTGGCTGTTGGTGTTGATGATTTCAATAGTGATGGGCGTTCGGAAATTGTTGTTGCATATGATGATACTGATAATTTGGATGTGTTTGTTATATATGACATTGGAGATTTTTCTCATCGAACGGCATATTCAACTGATAGTTGGCCAACTTGTGTAGCTTTTGGTGATTTTAATAACGATACTCGACTGGATATGGTTGTCACTACTGCATATTTCAATAATGTAGCTTTATATCTTGGATATGGTAATGGCTCTTTTTCAAATCAAATGACATATTTAGCTGGCAATAATCCACAATATGTAGCTGTTGGTGATTTTAACAACGATACCCGATCGGATATCGTCGTCGCTAATTATTTGGACAGCACTGTAAGTATCCTTCTCGGATATGGAAATGGCTCTTTTTCAAATCAGACGACATATTCAACTGGCTCTTTCCCAGAGTCTGTAGCTATTGGTGACTTTAATAACGATGGCCGACTAGATATCGTCGTTGCTAATCTTGATAGAAATTCTGTAAGTGTACTTCTAGGATATGGCAATGGCTCTTTTGCAAGTCAAGCGAATTATTCAACTGGCTCTCGGTCATTCTCTGTAGCTGTTGGTGATTTTAATAACGACACCCGACTGGACATCGTGGTCGCTAATTTTGATACCGATTCCATAAGTGTACTTCTAGGATATGGCAATGGCTCTTTTGCAAGACAAGGAGAATACTCCACTGGCACTGAACCATATTGTGTAGCTGTCGGTGATGTTAACAACGACAATCGACTGGATATCGTCGTCACTAATGGTGATGACAACACTGTAAGTGTGCTTCTCGGATATGGTAATGGTTCTTTTGCAAGTCAGACGACATATTCAATCGGTAACTGGCCACTCAAAGTAGTAGTTGGTGATTTAAATAATGATACTCGACTGGACATTGTTACCAGTAATTATGATGACCACACTGTAAGTGTACTTCTAGGATATGGTAATGGCTTTTTTGCAAATCAATCGACATATTCAATTGGCACTACTCCATTCCATGTAGCTCTTGGTGATTTGAATAATGACGGTCGACTGGATATCGTCTCCTCTAATTACAACGACAAAAGTGTAAGTGTACTGCTAGGATATGTCAAGCAAGCTTTTGTAAAACAAACGACGCTCATAACTGGCAATGGATCTCG